GAAATACCATGATTATTTATGAGAAGTATCTTTAATAAAGCTGGATAGGATTTGGCCTGGGAAAAAAATGGGCAGAGGAGCTGAATAGACACTATCCCAATGAAGACACACAGATGGCCAACATCTAATTATTTGGGAAGTGCAAATCAAAACCACAGTGAGATACCACTTCACACCTTTTAGAATGGCTGTTACCCAAAAGACAAGAAATAACAAGTGTTGGAGAGGATGTGGAAAAAAGGGAACTCCCATACACTGTTGGTGGGACTATAATTGGTGCGGCCTCTATGGAAAACAGTATGGAGATGCCTCAAAAAAAATTGAGAATAGAACCACCATATGAGCCAGCTATTCCACTTCTAGTATTTACCTGAAGAACATGAAAACACTGATTCAAAAAGATATGTGCACCCTGTGTTCACTGTAGCATTATTTACAATAGCCAAGATACGGAAACAGCCAAAGTGTCCATCAATGGATGCATGGATAAAGAAGGTGCGGTGTATACGCACAATGGAATAGCACTCTGGCCATAAGGAAAAGAATGAAAGCTTGCCATTTGGGACAACATGGATGAACCTTGAAGGTATTATGCCAAGTGAAAAAAGTCAGACCAAGAAAGACAAATACCATATGATTTCACTCATATGTGGAATCTTAAAAAGCAAAACAAAAGAACAAACAAAACGGAAAAACAAATTCATAGATACAGAGAGGATTAGTGGTTACCAGAGGGAAGGGGGGTCAGGCGGTGGGCGAAGGGGTCAACTGTCTGGTGACGGATGGTACGAGGCTTGCGGTGGGGGTCGCTTTGTAGTGCATACAGATGTTGAATCCTGATGCTGTACACTTGAAACATAATTAAAAATGTTGGGTCCTGCAGAGGGGAACCGGCAGACATCATCCCTGGGCCCTTCATCGTTACTGACTCCGCCTCTCAGATCCAGACACAGGAGCACAGGGAACTGGAGTAGAGGTGAAGGAGCGACTACCTGTGGCCAGAAAACAAGAGGAAATGAAACAGGAAGGGACCTACATTTGTAGAGTTCCTACCATGTGCCTGAGTTGTGCTGGTCCTTTGTCACCTGATGTCTCACCAACAATCCTTTGAAATAGTATCACCTTTTAACAGACATCTAGAAAGTGTTGGAGCTAGGAGTCAAGAACTACGCTTTTAAATAGGAATGTGGGGGGAGAAAAGAACTATGCTTTTAACGATTTACCAGGTCCACGTTGTTCTTGCTCACTTTCCTGGTGTCCCTTCCAGCTGGGATGAGAGCACACGACCAAGGTTCAGGTGGTCCGGAGCACAACCCTGGCCTTGGATTTGGAGCTAGAGGTGAACGAAGCTGAGAATGTTGCTGAGCAGCAGCAGTAGTTCCTAGGCCCAGTGGTCGCAGAGGACTGGCAGCGACATCTAGTGTCCAATGGCGACCGCAGTGTCCTTGGCCACCCAGTTAGGCCCGTGGCAAGCTGTGTTCCTGCCAAACCTAGTTCTGTAGGCTCCTTGGTGATTCTGAGCACAGAACCCAGTATCCTGTGATCAGTCCTCTCTTTAAATAAGTCAGAGTTAGTGCCTGTGGTTTACAACCAAGAACTTTGACACACATGTTGGCCAAAGTCTCAGAACCAGAAAATGCCAGCTAAACCACATTTGGATATTTAAACACAGAGCAGGCTCAGAGACCTTAGCTGGTTGCTTCCTCTGCCATCCTGATCCCCTGTCCTGGAGACGGGGCTGTCCCAAGAGATCCAGGAGCCAGAGGCTCCAGGTGTTCAGCAGGTTTCGAGGTGGGGGAGCTGGGGGCTGGTGACAGAGGGAAGGGACTGGGGACTAGATAGAAAGAGGCACTGGAAACAGACTTGGTAGAGGGGCTAAGAGAGGGGAAATGTGGGGTAGGACTCCCCTCCCATCCCCTACCATCCCATCCCAGGTCTTGGCTCCAACCTGGCTCCAGCCCCAGCTCTGTCTCATCTGTGCCAACTTCAGCCCACCTTCAGCCCCCCCACCCCCCGCCTCAGACTCAGCAAATTTCTTATCCAGTCCCAGTCCCATCGCAAGGTTCTGGGGACACAGTTTGGTCGCCCGTTCATGTGTGGTCATCTAAGCAAACTTGTTCCCTGCACACAGTGAGCCCCACTGCCCCGAGTGGGCATCCTCACCCTCCTGCATCATTACCCACCCCTATTTCAGAGCATCTCAATAGATGTGCTCTCCTGGCCTGGCCCACAAACCCTGACCTTTGTGTCCTCATCACCTTCCTGGGTCATTTTTGCGGGCCCTGGACCTAGGCTTTGAGGTCCATGCTGTCTTCCCACAGCCTGGTCTCTGGGTGAGCTGGAGAAGGAGAAGGTGCTAGGGGGCGAGGAGGGAGAGGCAGCTGTATAAGGCACTTAGAAGCCCCAGATCAGCTGGGAGCCAAATACTGGAAAGCCTCATATTTTTGTGTACCTCAAGTAGAGCCACATTTCCTGTGGGTAACACCACCCATCCTTGCCTGCCCCTTCCCTCCCATCCACCTCCGGCAGAAGGAGCCCCCAGTGGGTGTATCCAGGGAATGGCTGGGCTCAATTCAGGGCTCCCCAGAAGCTGCTGGCCCCAGAGGCCCCAAGGACCTCCTGCAGAGAGGTTGCAGTTCACAGACACAGGTTTAGAGTTCACAGACACAAACACTCCCAGATCCTGTGGTCCCCAAAGCAAATGCTGTATAGACCTTGAAACCATCTCTTCTGATCTCGTTAGACCCAACTGGGCACAGCACCTGTTTCTGGGGCTTCCTCCACATGGGCAGGCATTTCCAGTTTGGTCCATCAGCCACCACTCCTTGTGGTCTTGCCATATCTGGTGGCAAGTCAGTCAATGAGTCCCTCGTTCAGAGTTTCTTTCATTCAGTAAGTGGTCATTCACCCTTGGCACCTTTGGGTATCAAAGATCCAGAGATCAATAACGCAGGGTCCCACCTCCTGGGTCTTCGTGGGGTAGAAGCAATGTCGGAGTGAGAGGCAGAAGAGAAAAATGGATGATGTCACTGCGGGCTGAGAAGCGCGCCATGTCGGTCAGCAGAGGGGGTGGCACCTAATGCACGTCAGCAATCAGGCCGACTCCTCAAGGGTGGCTTCTGCCCAGAAGAGAACTTGGGAAGAAAACCTGAAATAATTCACTCAGTCATTTAAAGCATTAATTTTCTTATGAAAACATGCATCAATGATTATGAAGCAGAAAGCAAAAGTCCACATGAATTTTCAATATAAAAGATATTTCAAAGAAACGACCTCCCACCCCCATGGAAGGTCTACACCCCAGACTCTCCTGATCCCTCAGGCGCTGGTACAAGTCCTCTCGCCTCTGTGTTTAGCTTCCAATATTAGTGAGTATTAGTGACTGCTACATCAGTGGAAAGTTTTGAGAAGCATCAGTGTCTGGGAAGCTCCTTAGCCTGACCTTCACGACCTTCCACGACGGGACCCTCTGTCCTGGCGGCTTCGTTCCACATTCTTCCCATCCACACTCCCCGTTCCCCCCACAGCGATATGTACAGCTCCCCAAACCATAAACAGCGTGCTGGTCTGGTTCATGCCTTGTGATTTTCCACAAGCTGCTCCCTTTGCCTGGAATGTCCCTGCCCACACATCCATCTGGCAAACTCCTACTCATCCTTCAAGACCCGGCTCAAAGAGCTCCTCTTCTGTGAAGCCTTCCCCACGGGCCCAAGCAGAATGAGTCAGTTCCTCCCATGCACAATTCTACGGTGTCCGCGTCCCTTTCCTTGTGTGGAGATCTCTTTATTTCACTTTGTCTCTAACTTGATTGTGAGCGCCTGGATAGGGGAGACTGTAGCATTGGAAAGTTGTATCCTGGTCCTAAGTGTAGCATCTGGGATGGTAGGTATCTATAAATATTTTCTCTGGAGGAGCAAATGAACAAAACTTATTTTGACTCTTTTCTTCTCAATTGTTTTTTCATTTGTTTTTAGAGTCAAGACAGGGAGACCAGCATCTTCTCATAAACTTTGGAAAATGCTAAGAAAACCACTCACCACTAAGGTAAAAAAAAAAAGAAAATGCATTTAATCTCTCTTTGTAGTCATTCACATCTTAAAAACCTGGGGAGTTATGCTGAGGACTCACCAGACCAATGTGGTCCTTTGACCTGCAGGCATCAGTAGACTAACCAGGTAGGGAAAGGCAGCGGTGCTCTAGGGTCCAGTCGGTTTCCTGCAAGTCACCACAGGAGCAGCTATAGGGGTGGACACATCATATCCCAAGCACCAAGTCCCTTACTTATACCCATATACACGGTGACTCATTCTATCCCCATAACAACCCTATCAGGAAGCTACTATTTTTATCCCCATTTTAGAGATGAAATTGAGGCACAGAGAGGCTGAATAACTTGCTCACCATATTACAGCTAATAAGTGGCAGAGATGGGCTTCAAACCCAGTAAGTCTAGCTTGGAAATTCATTCTCCCAACCTCACTGCTCTACTAGTTCCAGGAGCAAAAGATGTACAGTGACAGTAACTTTGGCTAAGAACAGAGGGGCCATGAGGTAGAAGATGAACGTGCCCTTTCACAACTGATCACCCCAGTCCCGGGCTCTGGGATGCCCTCTGGGTTCATAAGTATCCTGTAAAGGCTCTCAGCATCACTCTGTACAACTTGCAGACCCCGAGGACCCAGTCTTCTCTCTGACTGCCCTGCCTTTATTACTTTACCTTGGAGAGGGAGTGATTTGTTTCAGTTGGCTTGCTTCCACTAGGAGCAGAGTCCTCACCATCTCAGGAAGAGGGCTCCCTGCCCTCCTGGGTGACTGAGGATCTGCTGGCACCATCTCCCAGGTGTTTTTCACAACAGCCCCCCTGTGTAGGGAAACTAGTGAGACCACTTTCCTAGGGTGCACGTGGCAGGTCTCCTGTACCCCATCCAGGACCTTTCAAGCAGAGGGCATGATATATGCAAAAATTCAGGCATGAGAAACAGCTGTGCCTGTCCAAAGAGCAGGTGAGAGGCTAATGGCTGGTGAAAGGGTGAAGGAGAGAGTGGAGGGACAGGAGACGGAAAAACAGTCTAAGTCCACCTTTGATTGTGAAGGGTCTTATACCCAAAGTAGAGAAATTTGATTTTGTTTTCCTCCTGTGGGCAGTGAAGAGCCTTTGAAGATCAGGCTGTGTTGTTAGGTTTACAGTTTCACTACTTAAGAAGCTGTTTTTCTTGGTTTTTTTTTTTTTTTTTGGCAGAAACATCTCAACAATTAGGAAACACTGCCACCATGTGGCTATTGGGTGACACATACTCCAAGCTGTAAACTGCCAAATTTTCTGTGATACTGTTTAATAATTAAACCAAAGAACACATCCTTTGATTCAAATAGCTGAAGTAGATCAATGATAACCTTACCCCTTATGTGAAAAGGATACTTTTCACAAGGTTTTTCGAGAAATCAATACCTGATAAACAACAAGGAAGTACTGTATAGCCCAGGGAACTGTACTCAATTTCTTGTAATCAGATGTAATGGAAAAGAATCTGGGGAAAAAAATACACAACACACACACACACACACACACACACACACACACACACACACACACACACACACGAAAGAAATTATTACCTGGGTTCATCTCAGATTTCTTAACTTTTCTTTTAAAATCCTAATCTAAATCTTCAGCGATTCTGATCAAGGATCCTTCCTATTCCCAGTAACCCCTATCTCGGGATCATAAACTCTTTGGCCCTGCAGAGGCTCTACCATTTCCAGGCCAGTTTGGCATCAAGCTGTCTCCAGGCCATTTCCCTCCGTGGCGGTAGCTTCTATTTCTGTCTGAGGTCTGTTCTCCTTGTGTGGCTCCGCAGTTGCTCAGACCCAAATTGATATATTTCCACCATCTTTAAAACAAAAAATTTTTTTTAAGCTGGGTGATTTGGGGCAAGTCACCTGACCTACCTAAGCTTCAGTTACTTCGTCTTCACAGGGTGACTGCGAAGATGAAAGATGACACGTGGGCATGTCCCTGGCACATCACAAGGAAGCCCTTGAGGGCATATTATTGTTGAGCACGCAACATGCGCTCAGTTGAGTTCTGTGATTTGACATCCGAGGTTTACCTGATTCTCCACGAACGTTCCCTGAGAGCGAAACTACTCATTCTCTCTGGCTCTGGGGGATCACCCCTATTTTCGTGCGTTGCTTGCCGGCTGCGGGCTGGCCGGAGATCGCCATCCACGCGTCTCCCGGGTGCGCAGCGGGCGGCAGGTGCGTGGGCGGGGACGGGGCGGCGCGGGGCGGGGCGGCGTTCACTCCTCGCCCCTCCCTTCCCAGGGGCTGGGGGTGGGGGGGTGTCTGTGGATAATTCAATCCTCGTGGGACTCGGCGTCTGACCTCACCGGCGGCTCGGCGGATTGGCTGCCTGTCTCAGCTTGCCCCCACCCTCCGTACCCCCCGCGTCCCAGGTGGCTCAGGCCTCCTGTGGCGATCTGTTTATTGTGAGAGCACGTCCAAGTTGGGCTCCATCACTGCATTTGCTCCCCTCTGGGGCCCCCTCCCGCCGGGGAAGCGGGGAGAAAACCCAGCCAAGCTGTTCCTCGCCCTTCCCCTCCCCGCACCACCCGGAGAGGTCGGGTAAGAGGGAACGGGTGTGTGTGGGAGGGGGAGTCTCAGGCCCGGGAGATCTGGCTGTCACCCCGTCCCGGTACCTCGCGCGGACCTGGGAGTTCTATCCCTAGGCCTAGGTCCTGTTCCCCCGCCCCAGTCCCGCGCAAACAGCCAGAAGCTGGATCTCAGGGATGCCCAGGTCCCTAGAGAAGGCACAGACGTGGCGACTTCACTCACAGGTGTTCCCTCTCCCCCAGGAGGCGATGACCCCCAAGCCAGCCGGACCCCCGGACGGGGGCTGGGGCTGGGTGGTGGCGGCTTCAACCTTCGCGGTGAATGGGCTCTCCTACGGGGTGTTACGCTCCCTGGGCCTGGCCCTCCCTGACCTCGAGGAGCATTTTGACCGAAGCGCTCAGGACACTGCGTGGGTCAGCGCCCTGGCCCTGGTCGTGCAGCAGGCAGCCAGTGAGGGGGGCCCCAGGGTGGGAGGCGGGAACAGGGGTGGAGGGGCCATGAGTGCAGTGGTGGGGAACGCATCTGACTGATCACCAGATAACCTGAGAAAGGGCGACCGGTGGAACTGAGTTCTGGAAAAGAGTGGGTCTTTGTGGTCAAGAGAAGGGGCTATTAGACAGGGGGAGGAATTTAGGCCCAACAAACTGTCAATGAGAAGTGCTGAAGAGAGTTTAGGGGTCCAGGAGCGTGTCTTCCGTTGACTCCGCCCCCTTCTAGGCCCAGTGGGCAGCGCCCTGAGCACCCGTTGGGGGGCGCGCCCCGTGGTGATGGTTGGGGGCGTCCTCACCTCGCTCGGCCTCGTCTTCTCGGCTTTCGCCCACAGTCTGCTGCACCTCTACCTTGGCCTGGGCGTCCTGGCTGGTGAGGGGAGAGGGACACCCGTGTTCTTAAGGGGCGATGGGGGAAACAGGAGCTCGTTGGAGGCCAATGGGGCGGGGGCCTCCTGCGAGAAGCGGAGCTGGGACTGCAAAGGCAGGCACCCCCGGTTCCCGCCCTCACCCCGTCCTATCCATTCGCAGGCTTCGGCTGGGCCCTGGTGTTCGCCCCTGCTCTCGGGACCGTCTCCCGTTACTTCTCCCGCCGTCGAGTCTTAGCCGTGGGGCTGGCACTCACGGGCAATGGGATCTCCTCGCTGCTCCTGGCGCCCGCCTTGCAGTTTCTCCTTGATAATTTCGGCTGGCGGGGCGCCCTGCTCCTCCTTGGTGCCATTACCCTCCACCTCACCCCCTGTGGCGCCCTGCTGCGACCCCTGGCGCTCCCTGGCGACCCCTCGGCCCCACCCCGAGGCCCTCTAGCTGCCCTCGGCCTAGGTCTCTTCACACGTCGGGCCTTCTTGGTTTTGGCTCTAGGCACGGCCGTGGTGGGGGCGGGGTACTTCGTCCCCTACGTGCACTTGGCCCCTCATGCTTTAGATCGGGGCCTGGGGGGCTACGGGGCGGCGCTGGTGGTGGCGGTGGCAGCGGTGGGGGATGCAGGAGCCCGGCTTCTCTGCGGGTGGCTGTCGGACCAGGGTTGGGTGCCCCTCCCGCGGCTGCTCGTGATGTTCGGGGCATTGACAGGGCTGGGGCTGCTGGCGGTGGGTCTGGTACCCGCGGTGGGGAGCGAGGGGAGCTGGGGGGGCCCCCTACTGGCCGCCGCTGGGGCCTACGGGCTGAGCGCCGGAAGTTACGCCGTGCTGATTTTCGGTGTGCTCCCGGGGCTGGTGGGCATTGGAGGTGTTGTACAGGCCACCGGCCTGGTGCCTATGCTGATGAGCATCGGGGGGCTTCTGGGCCCGCCCCTGTCAGGTAAGGGCCTGAGCCAGCAGATCCGCTCACAACCACCCTCTGCTCTTGGGGTCTGAGGCTTCTAAGTCCCTTTCCCCCTCCTCTCAGGCTTCCTAAGGGACGAGACAGGAGACTTCACCGCCTCCTTCCTTGTGTGCGGCTCTTTCATCCTCTCTGGCAGCTTCATCTACATGGGGCTGCCCAGGGCGCTGCCTTCCTGCCGTCCAGCCGCCCATCAAGCCACCCCTCCCCCTGAGAGGGGGGAGCTGCTCTTCGTTCCTCAGGCTGCGCTGCTCTCCCCAGGAGGCCCTCACTCCACTCTGGACACCCCTTGTTGACCATTTTCTTGTTTAACTCCCTCCTCCAATAAAGGATTTCTATTTGCTTTTTCTGCAAGCTCCAACTAAAGCATTCTACATAAGATATCTGAAAAGGCAGGCTGATAGGAAGAGGATCCTACTAAAGCCATGGGAGGCGGAAATGGTGTGTGTCCAATCAGTCAATTTCTCTCTGCCCAAGTTCTTGTCATCATAACAGGAGATCTTTGCCGAATGTCTGTCCGTCAGCTTCAGTTTATTGGAGGGCAGTGCTCTTGAGTGCTAGCTGCCCCAACCTCATTTCCCAGACAATTCTTTCCTGCATTTCAACCTCCTTCTTCTGGCCTTAGGGAAATACAAGAATCCCAGACCCAGACTTCAGCTCTCTTAGCTTTTTCTCTCCTTCCCAAACTGGCACACATCCCCGCACAGTCCCCCCCACCCCCGCCATGTCCCTTGTTTACTTAATTTATTTTCTAAGTTACAGGGCATAGTGGGAAAGAGGGAGGTCAGTGAGCAAATGGGAGGAACTGTGGTCCAGGGAGCAGAGTCCAGGGGTTAAATGCTCTGGGTCACCAGAGCACCTGAACACCTCCCCTCCACTCCCCAGCATGCCCCCATTCAGCCAACCCAAGCTCATGGGCCCCAGCTCTTCTTGAGGTTCTTATTATCCAATTTTCTTATTCAGTTTTAATTCAAAGGGGCATCCTTCTTTCCCAAAGATGTCTTCAGGGAAGAAACTTAGAAGGCAACAATGGAGATCACAAGTAAAACATGAGAAGACTCTTCTTGGCCTTTGATTTCCACAGTTGATTCACAGCTCAGTGGAGCAGGCTGAATGCCTGCATCCTTCAGAAAAGGTTGTGGGAGCAAAGAAGAGATGACTCTCCTCAACAAGATACAAGGAGCTGGCACACACATTGCAGGAGCCCCAGGCCTGCTCTGGTTGAGGGGAGGCAGATCAAGATGTTTAAGGCACTGTGGTTCTGTGGGTGCCAAGATGGGGCAGAAGACCTAGAGCTGCCAACCTCTGGCTTTCTGGGTCTGACTAGCCCTTCCTGGAGTTCATTCCTCTCCCAGCCCCTCACTGGGCAGAGGGACTTTGGTACCCAGTGTCTCTGTTACAAGGTCCTGGGGCTTGGAAGTAGGAGCTGAGAAGCAGAAGAAGTGAGGCAGAGTGATGAGAACTCCACTCCCTGCAAGGAGGAAGGCCCCAGCCACCACAAAGGAAGCCGTGTAGTTGCCTGTCACATCCCGGAGGTAGCCTAGGTTCAAGAGAGAAAAAGAATACACGTGGGTGATCTGTTTCCTGAGACTGATGGCTCAGACACATTTTTGGGTGGAGGGAAGAAAATAATCCTTAACCTATTATCGTGGAAGAGTTAGAACTCTCAAGGTAGGACTGGACCAGCAGGTGGGGATCTGGGGATCCAGATGGAGTCAGGCACACCTGTGCCTTTCTTTCCAGTAACTGTGGCCCTCCCATTCATGCCTTCAGTTAATAGTTAAGAGGAAAATGTTAAAGGGTCTGAAGGCTCTGACGTCTGGAGCCTGGAGAACTTTGACCAGATGGCCCAGACCTCTGGCCCGGGGCCCAGTGGGCCAAAGGAAAAGGCAGACACTGGCATGAGATGTCTGGCCAGGTCCTCTGAAAACCCAAGCTGTAAGTACCCTGCCAAGGATGCCACATAGCTCCTCTTAACCTTTCCACAGCCCAATTTCTTTGCCCCTTGGACCCATTTTGGGGCCAGTGTGACTGACCATGCTGGCTGCGTACTGCACCAATTCCAGAGGGCATTATTCATATATACTATAATGGAAGTTCCCCCTCCCGAGTGGCATGATGTAGCAGCCCTGGCCCACCTGGAAATCCCACTCCCCTTACCTGACAGAGGAGCCCCCAGCAGCCCCCCGATGCTCTCTACCATCTGCACCAGTCCCAGGCCACAGTATATCTTTCCAGTCCCCACCAGTTCAGGCAGCACGGAGAAGGCCACTGGAGTCAGGGCCCCTGATGTGAAGCCATATGCCACAGCCAGAGCCACCAGGGCTGTGGGAGCCAAAGCCACAGGGAACAGGGCCAGTATCACCCCAGTCAGGGTGGTCCAGAGCATCAGGAGTCTTGCCACAGGCCCTGGGACTGCATCCCCTAGCCACCCAGAAGCCACACGCCCCACAAGATCCGAAATAGCCACCACTGAGAGTAGGAAGGCAGCAGGCAGTGGGTCCCAGTCCAGGTCTTGCAGATGCGCCACCAGGTGCACATAGGGAATAAAGTAGCCAGTGTTGATCAGGGTGAGGGCGACAGTGTAACGGAGGAAGGGGCCGTGATGGAGGAGGGAGGTGAGTTGGGTCCCAGGGCCACCCACGGCAGGGTCCTCAGCCAGGGAGAGTGGGCGGAGAAGAGCACCACAGGCCACCAAGTGGAGGGAGAGGGCAGACACCAGCAGGAGGGCCCCCCGCCAGGCATAGTGGCTGAGCAGCCACTGGAAAAGTGGGGCAAAGGCAAAGGAGGAGAGGCCGACGCCCGTCAGTGCCAGCCCGGTGGCCAGGGATCGCCGGCGAGAGAAGTAACGGGACAGGCAGGCCAGGGTTGGAGTGAAGGTCAAGGCCCAGCCAGATCCTGTCAAAAAGGAAGAAAACAGGGGTTCAGGGACTCCTAGGAAGCTCAGGGCACCCAGTCATCCCAACACTGCCCAGCAGCAGAATGTAGCACAGGCCTGAGTTACAAGCTAGCTTGATACTTTCCAGCTGTATGACCTTGTGTATTTTACTTAACTTCCCAGCCTCAATCTCCTGTGCAAAATGGGGGTAATATACTTTATGGGAGTCTGGAGGCTTAGAGATAATGTTTACAGAGTAACTACCATGGAACTTTGGAGGTAAACCTGGGCTGTACCATTTCTGGCTGAGTAAACTTCATTGGCCAAATTGCATAAGCTTCTAAAGCCTTTCTTCACCTTTAGTAGGATAATGGTACCTATTTCACAACCACAGTACCTGAGACAACATTTTCATAATTCTTCCTTTTACACTCCAGTCCCACTGGCCCTAGGCTTGCATATTCTGGATTCATCATCTTTGCATTTCCTGATTTCCCTACCCTGTTAATGACTTTAGTCAACTCTCTTAAGAATTCCATTCCAGGCACAGATGCCAGCCGAAACTTTCAGCTTCTCACTAAGCCTTTTGGAAGGAGCAGGAAGAATGTAAAAGTCCAGAGGCCAGATACTCAGGCTTTTAACTCTCAGGCCCTTGCCCAGGGTCTCACCTGAAAGCAGCCCAATACTCAGGTACAGGTGGGTCAAGGAGGTAGCAAAGGAGGCGAGCAGCATCCCCAGCGCAGCCAAGATACCCCCAGCCATTACCACAGGCCTGGGCCCGAACTTCGTGCTCAGGGCACTGCCTACTGGGCCTGGGGAAGAGGAAGGGTTCTGCGAGACCTCAGGCTTCCTTCTCCAGCACTGCCCACCCCTTATCTCCTTCCCAGTTCCCGCATCCCCTCTCCCTTCCGAGGGTCGAAGGTCACAGGACTCCAGACCCAGGCACAGCACTCACTCCCGAACTGCTGCACCGCGATTCCTATGGAAGCGATCCAGGAGACTCGCGCCGCCTGCTCCTCAAACGCTGCCACAAACTCCACAAAGAAGACGCCGAAGGAGCGGAGCACCCCGAACACCAGCGCCGACTGGAAGAACGCTGAGAGCACCACCATCCATCCCCAGCCCCCGTCGGGGGGCTCAGCTCTATGTGCCATCTGGGAAGTAACAGGGCTGCCGCCACTGAGAGCCCCTCCGGGAGCAGGGCTCAGGATGTTCCACCTCGGCCCACCCATCCAGCCACCCAGCCGGACGGCTCGGGGCCGTGCGGAGGAGAGGATGGTTGAGAGGAAAGTACCGATAAGGGCTTGAAAGCTGCAGAGAGGCTGCGTGAGGCGCCTGCGCCTTTCCCCTGGTGGCGGCGAGGGTGGGCGGGCGATATACGTGGGAAGACCCGGCCGGCACTGGCCCCCCGCGTTCAGCGCCGGGGGGGCGTGGCTCCGCTGGCCGCGAGTCGAGAGTCCAGGCCTGGGTGGGGCAAGATGAAAGCGGGGTCGACGTTGGTTAGGAACCAGGGGTCAGCACTGGGTTTGGGCTCTACCCTTGAGGTGAGCCAGCCTCGAAGCGGATTATCTATTTTATCATTGAAAGTGTCAGCACCTGGCCAGACGGGCAAACATCCCTGTCCGCAGCTCACCAATGAGGACACGGGACTCCTCAGAAGGGGGCGGAGCCAGAAGGGCTGGGCGGAGCTTAGAGCGCGTTCTCCATCGGGTCAGTGAGTGGGGCGCATGCGTGAGGAGGGGAACTTTAGGAGGCACTCTAGATGGGCCCCACGTGACCCAGGAACCCACTAGGAGGCTGTTTGGGTCTCCTGTCCACCTAGCGGACCAATTCGACCGGATTGCAGAACGGAGACACGCACGTAAGGAGTCCAGGGGGTTGGTGGTGGGTAAACCGGTTTAGGAAAAGAAAACACTCACGTACTTAATGAGGGCCCCAGGAGTTGAAAGACGAGGCCCAGGTCAGGGGGCGGGTGTGGAGGAATTATGAGATAAGCCTAAACAAAATACCTGGCCAGGCGCCTGAGGCCACTAGAATCTAAATGCCTGGATTCCTGAGGGGTTCAAATGCCAAGGAGCAAGACAGGGGAATGGGCTGCTGGACTCCTGGCGTTGATTTCTGTGATGGGAACTCTTTCCTGTTCCTTCTGTTACCACTAACAGGAAACCTACAGGTCACAGAGACCAAAAATAACTGGGGAGAGGAAGTGCAGCTCTGAGTTCACTCAGAGCCCCACCAGCACCGGTCTTCAGTGGGGCTGGGACCTTTTCCTCTGCCCTCCAGTAACAACCACTTCCTAATCACGTGTTTTAATCTCTTGATGGGATAGACTAAAGAGACAAGCCATGACCACTGGAGCAATCAGCCCCTCCTACCCAACCAGTACCTAGTTCCTACAACCTTATATAGCACTCATGGATTGGTTTCAAGATCCTTAGGACACTGACCTTGAAATTTGAGCTCAAGGGTTCATCCACATACAAGTGGGAGTGAGGTGAAGGGGCGAGAGGTGGGGAAGGAGGCTGTGTAATTTAAAAAAAGCATACTGAGCCTTATATTTCCATATGTGGGAAATAAAAATAATCATACCCCAAAACTTTTTTTTTTAATGTAAGTGGAGTCAAAACTTTGGCTGTTGGGGACTCTGCCAAAGATGTAGAAATTAGTGTGGCTGTATAACATAGTGGTTAAGAGTGCAGTTCTTAGAATCAAATCATAGTTCCAATCCTGGCTTTATCACTTACTCGCTTAGCCAAGATATTGAACCTCTCTGTTTATCTATAAATTGGGGCTAAAAATAGTACCTACTTTCTCAAAAAAAAAGTACCTACTTTTAGGGTTATCAGGGGAGTTGAACTAGAAAATCTATACACTAAAATGCTTAGTTCAGGGCATGGCATGTAGCAGGAGATAAGTAATATTAGCTGGTCTCATTTGCAGCAGGGGATAAGCCACAGTGTGAGGGAAAGGAACGTTTTCATTTAGTTTCTTTGTTTTGTTTTTTGCTTAAAAAGTAAAATCTAATTCAGGTCATGGGTTTTAAAAGATTGAGAAACACAATCACAAACTAAATGTTGCGAGGAACGTATTCGTTCCATGTTAATGGACTTATTTCACAGGTAAGGAATTTAAGTCCCAAAGCAGGGGTAAATTATCAGAATTAGTGCCCCTTTACCCTCCAGCCATGGGGCAGAACAAAGCTGTGTACACAGGACATGGGGAAAGGGTGGGAGAGAAGTGGACGGATTCCAAGACACCATTGCTCTGGGGGAGGCGTAGAATTGGCATGTTGGATCAAACCGCTTAGCTTCTCACTGCCACCTCCAGCTCCTATTGTCCTTATGGGACCCAAGTCCTATCCATTTTCTGTGGTGTTGGTGGTGGTGGTGGTGGTAGGGTGTGTCCCAAGCATTAAATTTCCCAACACAGATGCACCCCCAGCCTCTTGGTATTATTAGTGGCTTCCTGGTTTTCTCCTTGCCACCTCCACACCTCAGGCAGGAAGTGACTTCAGAGCAGCAGGATGCAGGTGGGTCCGGAGAAACTTCATGAAGTCACTGGTTCCTACACAATGAGCCGGAAGGCACGAGCAGGGAAGGGGAGAAAAAAGCTGCTTAAAATGTCTGGTGGAGTGGGACAGTGGGATGGGCACAGAATCCAAGATGGTATCTAAGAATGGAGAACCCTCTTTCCCCAGCTTCACCCAGTCCCCAGATCCCCAAAGACAAGAGCCCAGGACACAGCAGACAGCACAGAGAGGCTTCTTTATTCCATGATTCTGATCTTGCAAGATCTAACATCTCCACCCCTTGGCACTCTCCACCTGCCCATCCAATCTGCTAAAAAAAAAAATCCTGGTTCCTTCTCACATCTCTCCTCTGCTGTCCCTCCCTCCTTCAATTCTGCTGTGGGGAGTAAGAGGGAAAGAGCGAGAAGAGTAGCTTTCTCACCAGTCCCCAGGTGACAGCCACTAGTACTGACCTGTCTTGAGGAAGCTCCACCCCACAAATTCAAAGTGCTTCTGATCCTCCACCCCATGCTCCAGATCAAATAGGCCCCAGGGCAACAGAGGCAGGCCTGTAAATTAAGGCTTCAGAGCATCATCTCACATTCCAGACATTCCACCCAATTAAGAGGAAACCCATTCCTAACTTTCTATCTACTTGGCCTACACCAGAGACTGTGCCCCTCAACCAGCCTCTTAATCCTACCTGGAAATTTGGTCCACTAGAAGGTCTACCAGTCAATCAATCTTGAAAATCTTTTAAACCTCTAATCCCAACAGTAGTCCCAATCATAATCCGAAATTACAGCAAATCCAGAATGGAACTCAGCCTCCCTTTTCTTTCCCTGTGGAAGATTCTAGTGCATTCACTGGTTCCAGACAGGAATGCAGTGACAGGAAGACCAGGTCACAGACCCGGCTTTTCTAAGGTAAGAAAGATACCAAGCACCTGTGATTTCTAGAGGCAAAGAAGTTTCTGGAATTTGGACACTTGCCAGAAGATGTCCAAAAACCCACTAAAGGAAGAAGAGGTTCATCTCAGAGAGAACCCCAAGGAATTCAAACCCAGATCCCTCTGCAGTAAAGGACGGGTCATACTCTTTACTATTTCATCAAGATAAAGAGTTTCATAACTCTCCCCTAGGTCATGACATTCTTGGAAATGGCAGAATCAGAAAAGGTTGCATTATCTCTGATAAGGAATTTCAAATCTCTCCCCCATGGAGGGATCAACTCAGTGCTAAGAACGGGTCCTAGTGGGAGGATTATGGGCTCAACCCAAGCTCCTAGGTGGGCTCCATCAGGACAAATAGACCCAGTGGAGCCAAACCTAGATGACCAGACTAAGGGGACAGTTAGGGGCAGAAGACAAAGCCTCTCCAATCATCCCTCTAGCTCCAAGACGAACAAAGCCCCCTCCAGCCACAGCCTCCAGGAAGTATTTATTACCTCCACTTCTATGACCCTTGAAGAAGAAAGAAACGTCTATATCCAGAGCTAGCCTTCTAGAGAACCTACAATATCCAGGATACCAGAGAGGGTTCCTGACCCAATTCCACAAACCTGCATGTTCCCAGAGGTGCCCTAGAACAAATCAAGGTTCCAGACCTAGAATTGGAGGGGCAGGACACAGAGAACCCCTTCCACTATATTAAACAACAAGCAAACAAATAGGAGACAGTAGTTCTAAAGTAAAAGTCATGACAATAATCATATAAAACACTCAAGCCAAAGGAGGCAACCAAGTGCTAATCTCTGCCAGCAGAGCTGTGACCTCACATTCTGTGTTTCAGGTCACTTTTGATCACACTTGTGGAAGAGGGACATGGGAAATGCATTAGAATGAAGGCTCTGGTGCCACCCAAAGGCCTCAATAAATTATATTTACAGATAAATCGAATGAGATGGGTGCTTAAGGAAGCCAGACCTGTCTTTCCCCTCCCCCAGCTCCTAGCATGCTGTCTCCTTAGAAACAATTTGGATCGTGGGGAAGAGGTTTTGACCAGCAAAACAGAGGCAGATCAAGCCGTGATCTGCCACCCCTGCTCTCCCCGGTGAGAAATTAAGGTGGTGGCAGTCGCTGATAGGGAGGGACCTTGCACGCCCCCATGCCCAAGCCTGACAGGGAAGCCAGCCTTGAGCGCAGCTTTCCCGTCTTCCAGGAAGGGAGTGGGGCCCAGGCCGGCGCTCAGCTAGGGCCCCCCAAGAATGTGGTAGTGCACTTTGGTGTTGGTAGCAGCTCCGTGTTTCTGGCGCAGATGCAGCCGAAGTTGACTCTTGTGCCGGAAATGCAGGCTACAGGGGTCGCACTGAGGGAGGACAGCGGAGTCAGATCCGTCCCCACCCACAGCCACCATTTAGGTGTTGAGCTAGGGGGAACTGCCCATCACTCCACCTTAGAGAAGCTCTTTAGTCCCCACATCCTCCCAAATTCGCAAGGAACTAGGCCCTGCCCTCCTCCGCAAAGGTTTTCCCATCCGTTAGCTCCTCTCCAGGAGCCTAACTTCTACACCTGCCATCCCTCCCCCTAGGCTCCGCCGCTTCCAAGGACTCTTCCAGGACACTGCCCACCTGGAAGAGAAATCGCGACGGCCAGGCCCACTCCTCACAGAGCCCTGCCCCCTGGTAAACGGGAGGCAATTCCAAGGCTTTGGGCCAAGCGGGTCGAGTACTCACGTGGTAAGGCTTCTCTCCCGTGTGGATGCGGACGTGGCTTTTGAGGGTCTGCAGGTGGCGGAAGCGAGTGCCGCAGGTGGGGCAGGGATAGGGCTTCTCCCCGGTGTGGATCAGCACGTGCGCGCGCAGATGCGCCACCTGGGAGAGGAGGGGACCTCAGACCGCGCCTCTCGGAGGGACAGAACCCTCCCCATTCGGCCCTCCCCGCCCTCTAGCAAATTTGCCTTCGAGCCGGCTCCGAGATGGGCGCCATACCTGCACAAAGCGTGAGCCGCATGTCTCACACTTATAGGGCTTCTCTCCCGAATGGATGCGGCTGTGCGTTTTCAGGTTTGCTGGCCGGTTAAAGCGGGCTCCGCAGATGGAGCAGTGGTAGGGCTTTTCCCCTGGAGGCAGGTTGGAAGGAGGTCAGGGACTGTACCAGAGAACACGTGTCGGTGGGCATGAAGGCAAGGATCCTCTCCTCCCTGCTTCTTCCCTACCTGTGTGCACTGTGCGGTGACTGGCCAGGTTGCCCTTATAGCGGAAGGCGGACCGGCAGAGCTGACACTTGTAGGGCTTGTCCTCCTCCCCAGGAGCCAAGGGGTCCAGCCCCGATGAGCACCCAGCCACAGCCTCACAGTTCTGACAGTTGAAAAATTCACTTCCTGGGAAGGGGGGTGGGTGATGACGACAATTCCTGTGAATCCTCAAACCACACGGGAGCATGTTTTCTTTTTTCCCAGTTTTCTGCTAAGGCTTCTGGGGCTCCTTTGATTTGCTCAGAGTCCCACGGTTATGAAATGGACAAGCCAAGATCTGACTCCATGTCTGCGGTCTGATTCCACAGTACTCTGCTAATCTCTCCAGTGGTGGTGATGGTAGGTGGAGGCCCCTGCTGGTCAGTGGATGCTTCTATTTGTCTCTCTTCTCTTGCACCAGTCTGGATGACAGCTTGCCAGAGAGGCCCTGCCAAGCCCTGGGCTGACCACTCAGCCCTGGATGGGAATTGGCCGGAAGCTCTCAAACTTTGCTGCTCATTGGAAGCTTTAAAAAATACTAATGCCTGGATCCCATTTGAAGACATTGTGATCTATAGGGTGTGACCCGGGCAATGGGATTTTAAAAAGCTCCCTAGGTGATTCTAACTTGCAGGAATTGGACTAGGCCTTTCCTAAGGCCTTTTGGCCCACGCTGGCCTTGAGCAGCCGCAGGAGAAAAACCAAGAAGGAGGAAGAAGGAGGGGCTCTTACCTGGTGGTGGACGAGCCTGCCCAGAGGGTGATCCAGTGGGCTCTGGAGCCCTGGGTGTGAGGAGATGGGGGGTATTGACTGGAGCCCCATATTTGAACTGTACATTGGCAGCAGTTGGAGAGAGCCTAGGCAGGTGTCAAGGACCAGAGAAAAGGGTTAGGAGAGATTATATGGAGGGGGTTTCTCCCCTGGAGAACTTGTTGCCAAAGGCTTACCCTCTGGAGGTGAGCCAATATTGACCAATGAGCCATATCCAGTTGTGCTGCCAAAGTCCCACCCCACTGAGTAAGCCTGGCTAGTGAGGTGAGCTAGTGTGTCTGAAGCCCACCCCTTGACTCCTTGTTCCTGACCACCCAGGCCCAATGGCTGTGCCTCTGAGCTGAGGCTAGCCTCCACAAATTCCGGGGGTTCCAGTTTCTGTACCTGCTCTGGGGACCAGGAATGGGTCCTTCTTCGCTGCCGCTGCTACTACTGCTGGAAGCCTCATCTCCACTGGGGAGCCGGGCTTGGGAGCAAAGTTGACCAGAACTCCTCTCCCCTGCCAGGCTCCCTGCTTGGGAGGCCTGAGAGTTTAGCACGATGAACTTGTACTTTTTCCAGTTGCAGGCCTTGGGGTCTGGGCTGCCTGGACTGGGGGGCCCTTGACTGCAGCTGCGAGACTCAGTAGGTGGGTCTGGGTGTCCTTCGGAGCGCCTGGGACTGCCTGGTGGAGGGGCTGTTGGGGGCCTGGGGGGTTCCGCCTCCAGGGGCCGCAGGGAGATGCCCAGAGGTTCATAGCTGAGAAAAGTGCGATGGACATTAGTACCATTACCAAATCGTGGCCCCTGCCCTTGACACCTGGAATGACACTTCACCCATGGGGAATACCGAGCTGAGGCTCCCTCACCTGGCCTGAATGAAGCGGTGGCATGCCTGGACCACATGTTCCATCTGCAAGTACGTGGCGGCTGCAAGGACGGCTGGTGCAGTTGCGGGAGAGAGACGTAGGCGCGAAGTGTACATGAAATCCAGAAGAGGCGCGAAGCCCCCAGCTTCAGGACCCCCAGGCAGGGAGAGCACATCTACCCCCACTCCTGCACGGCCTCGGAAAATTGAATAGAAGAAGCCACTGGAGAGAGGGAAGATTAGAGGTCACATTTAGAGGCTGGGGAACCAAGGGATACACGCACCCCTATAGAAAGCCCCGCCCCTCCCCACTCTTGTCCCGCCCCCAATTCCAGGACGCTCCGCCTCCTGCGTCTGGAAGGCTGGGCTTCCCGCCTCAATACGTTATGGCTCCGCCCCTTTCCCATTTGGTCCCACCCAACCTCACGAGCTATTCCTCGAACCTGCAGGCGATAAGAACTGCCTTATGAGCGCGAAGGGGTTGCCCGCCAACCAGCAGCGTGACGTCAGTGAGGATCCCGCGCAGGCGCAGCTCATTCAGGTTGCCAAGCACGTCGGAGGAGTGGCGCGTGAACTCGCGGACGTAGCCCAGAGCTCCCTCCGGGGTAGCCGTGGAACCCATAGCGACGCAGGCCTGCGGGGGCGGGGGAAAGGCCTCAGGGATCCAGGCCGTCCGAAGACCCCATCCCTTCCGCAATTTGCCCGCTCCTCCTGAGGTGCGGCTAGAGCCAAGCCCCCGGCTCCGGTTCACGCGGCCTTACTTAATTCATCTTGTTCTTTCTGCACTCAGCCACACCGTCGCTCGCTTTCCTCTTCTAGATTGAACTGCGCTTGGAGCGAGTTGAAGGTTCCCACACCGAGGCGTCGATGACGACCGTGGGGAATTTGGCCCGCAGCGCCCTTAGACTCCCTGTGCCCTTCCAGCACCCCTGTTCCCCTCTGTCTCACCCCGTGCCTGGTCTCAGATCCTGTTTGGAGTCCCCTGACGACCTGCGGTCTACACCCTTCCACATCCCAATCGAAGTTCCCTACCCTGAACCAAGAAATTCCATCTAGTCCCGGATCCCTAGTTTAACCCAATTTCTGGGCCTCAGTCATCCTACCATCAACAAGCCCCAACCGTCTCAGGGGACCCAGGAGTCTGGCTCCCTCAGTCTCAGGTTCTTACCCCTGTCCTGCAGGGGCTTCAGCTTCTCTTCTCAAGGGGGGCGGGGCCTCTCTCCCCTCTTGGCCTCGGCGCCTTTATCTGGCCGGGATGTCGGGGGCGGGGGTGGAGGTGGGGTGAACGCCTGGGTCTATATCCTTCCTTCCTCCCTTGCTCTCCAGATGGCGAACCCGGGGCGGGGTCTCGGGCTCGAGGGCGGGACCTCAGAAACGCTAGGTGGTCGTAACGTAAGGGATCTTGGGCCACTGAAAGTGGAACTGAGGATGGGACACTGGAATTTGGGAGGAGATTGGGGATACTGAGATTGGAAATATGGGTAACCTGGGTCGTCGAGGGGGCCTGGGACAGAGAACACTGGTGTGTTGGCTTTAGGAAGGAACCTATTACAGGAGAGTGAATACGGCAAAACTCTCCTTTCCAGTGTAGGGGGATTAAAGGAGATAAAGAGGAGACCAAAAAGGCACTAGGTTTGGGGAGGCGAGAGTGGGCTCCCGTGGGGGTCTCAGACAGCAGGAGGGTGTGGTTAAATGACAGGTTCCTCTAGCGGGGCCTGCAAAAAGGGGGGCTCTGACCGGGCGCGGTAGGGAGGGGGCGGATATGATTTCTAGTTCGTTTCCTTCTATTGTCCCGAGACCGGACGGCTCCGCCAGCTGCTTCCCCTCGAGGAGGTGGGGAAAGCCCCGGGTGGGGGCCGAGAGACGCTCAGGAGACCTAGGGTCCGGACTTTCGCTCCCGACTTTCTTCTCAATCCTTTTAGGGACCCAGAGAGACAGACTCCTGCCCAAAGCCCTCTCGCCCTCCCCAAGTCCCAGCTCTCTAGGGCCTCGGGCACCCGCCCGTCGGCCGCGTTTGGAGGCTGGCGGGACGCCGGGGTCCAGCGCGGCAAGTAGGCAAAGCTCGGCAATGTTCGGCTCCTTCCACGAGGGGGCGGACGAGCACTAGCCTCGCCTCGCCCAGTCATCTCCATCCGGCTGGGGGTCCTCTCAGACGGGGGCGCAGGATCGATTAGGTCTGGGCGGCTGAAACCTTCGTTCTGCCCTCGCCCCCTTTGCGCTGGTTTATTTTGTCCAGAGGCCTAGGGTTGGGCAGAGGGAGGGAGAATTAGGCGACAGAGGGGACTTTCCTCCGAGGCTGGGGCTCCTACCTGGGGTGAGAAATCCGCGGGCTTTGGGGACAAGGGGAACGAGTGCGACAAGGAGCGGGGTCTGAGGCCTGTGGGCACAGGGTTTCATTTCTTATTAAGCTAGATACTATGATCTGTCTTTAGAGGCGAATTTTTAGTGAACATCAATATGAAAGTTGGGTGCAGTGAACAGAGAGGGGAAACAGGGAGAGGGCCTCACGGTAAAAGAAGGGAGAGAGGGCAGGAAGGCCTGATAACCCCAATTTAAGCCCCTGACCTAGGAGATGGGCAGGGGTCACACCCTCATGTTTTGTTTGGGGAGACGTTGGCGCTAGGGGGTGGAGAGAGGTGGGTAAGGTTCATCTGGAGAAAGTGGGGTCCAGAGCTGAGTTCAGCTGCAAAGCAGGACTTGGATTTGGGCTCAGGAGAGACTCCGGCTGCCCAGTAATGTTTGACCATTATCCGTGGAGCTGCGTATCCAGGCCTAGGGCCCTCGCCTTCAGATCTGAGAGCATCTTTATTTGGGTGCAGGAAAGAATTGCTGAGAAACCAAGAATGGGGACGACTAGGGGTTCATGATGGTAAGGTGGCTTTTGCAAATGAGGGTAACTTTGGTCTCTGCCCAGCTGGAAGTTGGGAGTTAGACTCGGGACTCCCTTTGGTATCAGGATGGGGTTATTTTTGTGTTGTCTGGTCAATGTGTCAGTTGAGGGAGTGCGTGTTTATTATGGGTCATTGAGTTAGTTTGATTGTTCTGGGCACTGGGGGCTGCATTCAGGCTTGAAGGCCAGTAGTAAGTCTGAGGCTTAGAGCTGATTTTGAAGCTACATTAGTTCTGGGGATTCTGACACTGACAATTTGAAGACTGTCATCTTGGAATATCAGGAGAACCTGCTAGGTGTTCTTCGTAGGTTGATGAGGATTTTCTTTGGGGGAATTCATCATCATCGGTGTATGTGGACAATCTGATTTTCAAATAAAGTAGTCATGCTGATTTTGGGATGTGGTCTGTTTTGAGGTGCCAGATAAGTTTCAAGGTTCAGATTGTATTTGGGGGACATGAAATTTAACTTGGGGTTTGTATTATCTTGAGGTGGAACATAATAGGGACCTGGGAGCAAGTGTGAAGGCCTTCTGTGATTGTGGGTCCTGGACGGGGTTGGGGGGCAAGGCTTTATATTTGAATGTTGTACAACCTTACTTTCAGGAGGCAGATAGTTCTGTGTATGCATTGATAGTCAAGAAGCTTTTTCCAGGAGGAGAAACAAGGTGAGGGCCTAGGGTAAGAGACTAAAGTTTTGGGGTGTCCTTATTTTGGGGTGATTTGCTACTCTTTGGGTGCATTTGGTGAAGCCGAGCAATGACTCAAAAGGTGAGATTGATTTTAGGGTTCACTTAATTTGGAGCACAATGCTGGTTTGGAATGTCCTTTGCTTATAGCACCTTCACCCCAGATTCTAGAAATTTTTTTCTTCAGTGAACCTCCAAATATGCCCAGGGATTGAAGGGAGAAATTTGGAAAGGGAGTGTATCTCCTCTTACTTCTATGTGACTTGGATAGATCTGAGAGACAAAAGGTGGTTTTGGAGTCTGAACCCCAATTTCTTAAGGGAGCACACCTCGGTTTGGGGGACAATGGGGGAAATGGGGTGTCTTGTGGTAAAGTGGACACCCCTGAGTAGGACAGTGCTGTTGGAACTGCGGCAAGGAGAGGTGGTGAGGTCCAAGGCAGTGAATCTTGTACCCTGATTTTCCAGGATAAGAGCCCCAAACAGAAAGCAGACAGAGGACTGGGAGTGTGGGTGAGGTGGGGGGGGGTTCCCCACGGCAGCCGAGGCTAGGGGGTAAGCCAGGCCAGCTCTGCACACCCCGGTCCCTGCTCTCCTCAGCTCTCCTCCCCTCTCTCCCTCCCACCGCCCACCCCCCCAACCCAAGGAAAAAAAAAACTGCCTGTGCAATAGCAATGGCAGATTCCAATCCTCCAGGCTTTCCTAAACCACCACGGAGACCAGCCAGGGGGGAGGGGAAGGGAGGATCGGGCTTTCCTGCTTCCCTAAGACTGGGGCTATGAGCTTGACCTCCTGGCCCCTAGCCCTTCGAGGAGTGCCCCCCTCCCCCCAGCCTGGAAGCCAGGTGTCCTGGACCCTAGCCCCCGAGCGGGGGGGCCTGGAGAGACGGGGAGGAGGAAGGAGGGAGTGACTTCCAAAATTGGCATCGGGACAGAGCAGGGCTGGCGGGAGGCAGGTGAAAGACGGAATTTTCCTGAAAAAACGGGGGGATCTAAGGACCCCAAATTTGGGGAGCTAGTCAAGGACCGTCCTGCCAACATCCTAGATTTTTTTGGGATTTTTTGGGGCCCCCGGGACCCCTCTAGATGGGGTGAGGAATGTAGTGTTGGGGGAATCTGACTGGGGCATTGCAGCTGCCTCTCCCGCCGAGTTGGAGACGGATGGGCTGGGACGAGTTTTGGGGGGGTGTCCCCAATTCTAACTGGGAGTGGAGGAACCCCCTCCTGTGCTCTCTTATGGGGGTCCCCCCTCCCTAGGGCACTCCCCACTCCCTGAGCCAGCCGAAAGGAAGGAGGCCAGCGATGCGACTGGGGCGGCTCCTTTCTCCTGCACCCCAACTAGTGAGGGAGTGC